CACTTTGTGTTCATCCCCAGCGCTCAGCAAAAGCTCTGCTCAGCTCTGCAGGCAGCAAGCATCTGCAGCTTTGCTGGTCTCCTCTGAGATCTGCAGAGAGGCAACAGACCTTCATCATAGCCTGAGCCGGAAGGGTGTCAGAATAAAGTATGCCCTGTATAGGTGGGCATGGAGTAAAACAAGGTGAGGCAACCACATTTTGACTAAATTTAAAATGTATTTTGAGTATTTTAATCCATAATTCTGATTATAAATATTTTATGGCCAAGGCATTTTGTGAAATGATATACTCAGCACAAGACTGTAAGGAAATTCAGTATCTTTTTGCTTCATAGATGATGAACTCTAAATAATATCTATCACCAAATCAGTGTACAAACAGACACTATTGTTCTTATTTAAATAAATTGCATTTTACCGTTAGACCACAGCAAAATTTCTCTTGAGTTCCTTTTCTAGTTTCTTATTGTACAAGTTAAAAAAAAAAATCAATGTCTTACATTGTGTCTCTTAGTAGGAATGTAAATGAAAATTTGACCATTTCATTCATACAGATCTCTTCCTATCCAAGTGAAAAACAAACAAAAAGACTTCTTAACTAAAATACAGTAGTGTTCAAAGAGCCAGAGCTGTAAATTACTGCTTGACTATAGTGGAACTCTGCTCATAGATGGATCAGCATAATATCATACTAACACTTGGCTTTTCAGGAAAAAATCTTTAGTGGCAATTTCCCAATTCCCTTAGACTTAGAGAAAGAGAGAGGGAGGGAAAAAGGTGGGGAGGGAAGGAAGGGGAGGAGAAAAGAGATGGGGGGGTGGAGAATATAAATGAATGAATGAATCAGAAGCCAATCCCTTTCTTCTCTTTCATGCATATTCACATAACAAAGTAAGAAATAAATACTGACCTGCAAAATCAACACAGCTTTAAGATTTTTCATCCTAACAACTCATAAAGAAAAGAAAAAAAAATTAAAATCTTTCTTTGCATCTTGGGACAGTGATCCTTGTAATAGTCATTTGGTGTATTATTTAAAATGGCTTAAAATGGTAACACATACATGAATAACATTAAGCATTTGTTTTGCCATAAAAACGTCAATAAAGTAATATAAAACTGAATAAGGAGAAATTAACATTTGCATGATATACTCACTCAGTGGAACATTTTGGAATTATAGATGGCTTATGCACAAACTCTGAATGGATTAAAAATTGATCTATATTTAGAGAAATGTAAAGTAATTCAGCTTTACTGTTTTTCTATTTGTAAACAGACAATTTACCCAGGAATTTTATAAAGGAACATTATCCATTACACACACACACACACACACGTATATATGTATATATATAGATAGATACTGATTTGCAAAAAATAAGCAAAACAAACAATAACTGTGAAATGCTCATTAAAAGAATATGGAGTCCTACAAAAATCTATGCTAAATAGTGCATTGTTCTTAGCTTTAATTAAAATGTTTTTCATATAATTTTTAGCAGGCTTATGTAAAATACTGTCAACATTTATCTATCATGATTTGGTTTCTTAAAGCTGTTTGCTAAAATATGACTGGAAATTGCTCACTAGCATTAATTTCACTCTGCCAAGAATTTGGAAGATCTTTAACAATTGGGGGCCAGATGTGCTGTTCATAGACGCAGGTCTTAAAGACAACATTTAAAACAAAACAAAACAAAACAAAATGTGTTTCATTGTTTTGCTTACAAAAACTTTAGGTGAGAAAGTTACATTCACTAAGAGATACTAATGAAAAGAGATAGCATGAAATGGAAGAATTCCCTTAAAGTTAAAACAAAATCCTAGAAGCATCTTTTCAAAATTTTCCTGGCTATATTATTTGCTGTTTTTGAAATATGTATGAGTATTAAAAGAAAACTTTTCTAAAGTTTTCCAAGATATGCTTAGAAATAATGTCTTACTGATCCAATAACTTTCTTGAGTTTCGTTAAAACACAATATTTATTGTCAAAAATCCAAGCAGTGAGGACTATGGTATAGGACCACTCATTTTTGGATCACAATGAATATTGCCCAAACTTGTGGACCTGAAAGTGGATTGGAAAATACCAGTGTGTGGATTAATACAGTCCAAATATATACTTTACATCTTTTCTCTAAAACATTAAGGGGTACTTAAAAATATATTTCAAAGTCAAAACATCTTTTCTTGCAACCTTAAAGATGTATTTAGGAGAGGCCAATGCACTACTGCTCTAAGGATAGAAGAAGGAGATCAGAAATACTATAAATCAAAGGAAAAATAACTTCAAGAATTAAAATTAGAGAATAAATTATTATACCACTGGCAAAGGGTGACAGAGGACTTTTTTCTTATAGAAATACCCTTTAGATTAGAAATTACATACTAAACCTGAGGATGAAACAAATAGTCTCACAATAGTCAACTTGATAGACCTTAAAATCTGATATCCCTTCAAGAAGGAGACTAAAGTTTCAACAGGACATTTAAAATGCAGCTGTAGCCGAGAGTGGTGGCACATGTCTATAATCCTAGTGGCTCTGGAGGCTGAGACAGGAGGATCTTGAGTTCAAAGCCAGTCTCAGCAAAAGTGAGGAGCTAAGCAACTCAGTGAGACCCTAACTCTAAATAAAATACAAAATAGGGCTGGGGATGTGGCTCAGTGGTCAAGTGCCTCTGAGTTCAAAATCCCTGATACCAAAAAAAAAAAAAAAAAAAAAAAAATTGGCACAAAAGAAAGGAAGGTGTTTGTTGTTTTCTTTTGATATTTGGAGATTTAAGCAACGTACTCCTATCTCATTTTTTTCCTCTGTATATTCCATGGACAAAAAGTAATGAAAAAGTAACCATGGTTAATTCATGAGTAAGAAAGTGGTATTTCTATACTGTTTGATAAATAAAAAAAAAACAAACAAAAACCAAAAAGCCCCATTTGACTAATTGTTTTGACTTATTGGATTAATTTCATGGAAACATGATACTTATATTAATTTTTAAAGTGATTTTTTAGAGCCTGCCTTGATTTTGATATTATTAAAAATCCTAGTTTTATTTTTTAAAAAGTTGCTAATATAAAAATCATGTGACAAAATGAATACATTTAGACTAAATGGGATTTGGCTTAAATGTACATTCTTCTGGGGAGAAAAAAGCAGAAACAGAGATGTGTGCCCACATTCCCCTTCTTGGTAGGTATCTGCATATTTTACTGTATCAGCAACTTATGAGAAACTGATTATTTTGAAAAATTCAAAAATAAAAATGATTGGTGCAACTCTTTTAGAATAAGGCTAATTCATGCCTGAGGCACTGGGTTCAATTCTCACCACCAAATATAAATAAATGAAAAGTTTAGTTTAGTTGTCAAATGGACCAAGAAAAAAAACATTAAAAAAAGCCTATAAAATAAAGAAGGCCAACTCACAAGATAGAGGTCTGGGTGTCCCTTGCAAGGAAGGAGACATTTATTAGAACTTGGTATTGGGAATGAGTGACAATGTATGATACTCCTACTATCTCAATTCTTTTAAGACAATGAAGACAAGGACAGAGAATTGAAAATAAGAGAATGCATTTCAAGCTACTTTGAGAAGGTGATAGCATAACAGAAGGACTCCAAAAGAGAAAGGTAAGAATTTTTCTAGGAAAATAATTATAAAACTATCTTTTTTTCTAAGACTGAAGGAAGTTAAGTTGACTGAATGAAAAATAAACTCACTAGAAAAATGATATTCAATTTAGAATTTAATGCTTATATTAATATGTAAATTCTGATATAATGCCAGAACTGAAAAAGATTTTGAAGAATGACTAGAGCAATGATTCTGAAATTTTGAGTGCTTACCAAAATACATATTCCTAAATTCCATCCCTGGAGATTTATTAATTCAATAAAAACTTGGGGTTATAGTGATGACTAAGACCACATCATTGTTCTCTTATGTGAAGATACAAGTGGTCCATATACTTTGAGAAGCACTGATTTTTTTCAACAATTTTGTTATTGAATTATCCTTATTTCAAGGCTAGTTTTTCATATTGTCTTTTACTTTGGCATTCAAATGGAGTGTGTGTAATAAAATAAAATAGGAGATTCCCCCCACCCACCCAAGGACAAATTAGAAGAGCTCAAGGTGGCTCCTGTGCCCTCAAATTAATTGGGTATTCTAGTTGTAGTACCACTTTGGGTGAATTAGTTCATCTATCTAAGCCTTAATGACATCATTGGTAAAAGAGGAATTAAAAGGAGTACTTAAACAATTTTTGGATTTTTATAAGAAATAAAGGAGCTTATATCTGTCACTGGTACACAGCAAGCACTCAAGTATATGTTCACTTTCACAGTGTACTGATTACCATGAATGTACAAGTTTCCTTATAACGCCTTAAAAATGGTTTATCTGAATAAAATGGAATTGTGGAACTTCAGAGTCAGAAGATACTTTACACCTCATCTGTCTGTTGTTATGGTATTTAAATTAAGCTGCTGGAGAAGCTCCCTCATTGCTTTGAGATGTTTTGCCTAACAGAATTCCATGTAAAATTTTATTAGAAAGAAGTCCTGCTATGAAGAAAAGCCTGAAAACCACAGCAGTCCCAGCCTCTCATTCTAAAGAAGAGAACTGAACAGCATAGAAACTTATCTAAGGTCACGCAGCAGGAGTAATGGTAGAACTAATGTACTCATCATCTTCTTTGAAAAGAAGATTTTAAAATGGAAATTTGTGTAATTATAGGTCAAACATTTTTCAGATTGAAATTGTGTAAAAAAAAAATACAAAGCCCAAAAGAACATCTGTAATTTGACTTTCTGAGGATTCTGTGTATTCACTCAAAATCATATGAAATGTGGGCATTCTTTCCTTAGAGGTGAATATATTCCCCAATACCACGCAGTGAATTTTCATTTGATTGTAGATGAAGCGAGTAGAACTTTAAAATGTAGTATTTAATTCTTAGTAATTATACATTCCAATTATGATAAAATTCAGACTAATTATTAATAAGAATTTATTTTTAAAATTTTCATAAAAATATGGGATTTATTTGAAGAGAAAAACATACTTTTCATCTTGCCAAAATAAAGCAGTACCATTTATACTTTCTATCTTGTTAGAGCAGAGGCTTTTTGAATCAGAATGTTCAGGAAACAGTGTTCAGGTTAACTAGAACTTTTTTTTTTTTTTTAATTTTAACCCCTTATACTGCAAAGCATCTTAGGATGTACTAGTCTACTTTGTTCTGACCTAGGAACTGATCATGAACCTGACTTGATATGTCTTTGATAACTGAGACTTTTGCATTGTTTAGGATCTTTTTTTTTTTTAAGAACATGAATTCTTATTCTACAGTACTGTGAAAATATAGGCTTAACCTATAATTAAAAAAAAAAAAACAACAACAACAAAACACCAAAATCTAAATCCCTGATACAAGCTCATTGTGTTATTATTTGACCTATTTTCTGAAGGGGGAAGGAATACATTCTTATTGAGGTTCTGGTTATTCAATATTTAACAATTTTGAAATCAATGACTTCCATTTGGTTTCATGAAGGCCAAATATGGGGTCATAGGATTTCTTCATAGTTTCAGATTTAGTTCCTGGAAACATTTGAATAACGTTAGAGAGTACTGAAATCTATATTTTTAATTACATTTTTTACAATATCAACAAAATTATTCTTTGGAAAAAAATTGTGTTTAATTACTAATTCAGTCTAAATCTATATAAAATAAAATATAAAGAGAAAAACATGAGAACCAGTAATATTTACACATTTTTAATATGCTTTGTGTTAATATTCAATGTTTTTTTCATGAACTGATTATTTAAAAACCACATTTTTATTTTCTTACTATGTGTAATTCTCAGTTTTCTGTTGTGTGCTCTCCATTGATTTTAGTGTTCTGAATTTTCCCATGTTTTGGGGATTTAAAAGTTTGCATTTCTCAAATTTGATTTCAAAATCAGATTGAATATTTTTACTTAAAATGAGTATATTAATTAGTTTGTTCAAAAAAGCTTCAATACTACAGGACTTTGGGGAACCAACTGACTGCTTGTTTGAATAGTCAGAATTCTTTTAAGCTAAAACAGGTCATTCTAAACATTCTCTTGGTAGCAAGCATTGATTGAAGAGTACAAATATTAATTTAAAAATTTCCACTATAAACAATTACCAGTCACAATCTCATTTTAAAAGTAAGACCTAAAAAATTTAATTTCATTCTAAAATTTAAAGGAGCCAAAGACTCTTGGTCAAATTTGAGTGAATATAAAATGAAATTTAGCAGTTAATGGCAAATAGAACAATTAATTTCAGTTATTTAATAGTATAACCCAGAATAGGACTTAGTTTATGTTTAAAGTAAGTTTTATGACTTAAAGACAGAATAACATTTTCAGATCTTAATGGGGGAATATTTTATGATTGGGACTATTGAAGGAGTTGTCTTTGACTCCCCACATCTTGGGGCCAGACTGAGAAACTGCAATTTTTATGGTACCTTGGGGCAATGAGATGACTTAGATGACTCTTTTCTTGATTCCCCAATAAGAGCAAAGATTGACAGGTTTATACAATGAATATTAATCATCCCAAAGGAAATTTATTATACAATGATGTGAATAGAATTTCATTTATAAAGCTTATTTGTTCTTTCCCAAATGATAAAAATGATAACAATTAAAATTCTCCTTCTGAATCTAAACAGGGAACTAAAAATTATTTTCTGAGTTTCTTATTCTCAGTGTTTTGATTCCTGTGGGTAAAGAGGAAGACATGAGGTGTCATTCCCCCAGGCTGGATGAGAGAGACCATCTGTTTAGAGGAATTGTGCAAACATTGTTAACCAGTTCAACTATGGAAAGTCTTAAATATTAAAGTCACAATTTTGGTTTTAGTCTGACTGGTTATTCAGCAATCTCCACATTTGCTAAACTGCAGAGAGAGGGGGAAGTAGTTAAGATTTTGACATCTTCTTTACTCTTGATTATAATTTAATATACTTAAACTTTAAATATGAATTGCTTTCCCTTTTTACACAAGTTATAAAAATAAGAGGCCCTGTTTATAGTTTGCATTTTTTATGAAATTTGCAGTTTGAAAAAAAAGCTCTTTAAAAAGTGGTAATTAATGCTTTTCTTTGAATATGCTGTAACCTTAGAATTTTTTTCTGAAATAGTTTCTGAATTTAACCCACTAAACATTTGAAGATAGACTTTTTATTTAGCACTAGAGTAAAACATACTAAGGACTGAAGAAAAGAAAGTTTCTTTTTTTCTTCTCGTTCCATTTAAGTTTCTTTATATGTGGCACCCCCTTTATGACAGCTATCAATATTATATTTAAATTTTATATATTGACAAAATGCAATCTACCTCTGTAAGCATTGTGCCATTCAACAGTACTACAATTAAATTTACATACCACAGTTTAAATTACATCCATTTCAGGAATGGTAAAATGCTAAAACTCAAGTGTCTAACTGCCTTACTGGAATGAGAATACAATTTACAAATACAATAATTACATTTGAAAACCATTAACAATATTACACCTAGAAGTAAATACTATAGGATTGGTCATCATGGTGTGGTGTAAGGAAAATCACTGCTGAAAGCCATCGACTTTCCAGCTGATAGATCCCAAGTGCAGACATTGGTTTGCTTTCATCAAACCAGAATTAAAACCTGTTTCTCATACAACAGTTCTCCATTATATGAATCCTTGCATAAGATTTTATTAGTTATCTGCCAAGTATTTTCCTGCAAAACAAAACAAAACAACATATCAATATATTATCTGCTATTTTGATACTGTGATTATTATATAGGTAAGATTTCTATTCCTTTTGCCCTATCCCTTGGAGCCAAATATTGCATACTTTACGTTGCAATAATAATACAAACTACATAAAGGTTTTTGTTTGTTTGTTTGTTTGGTACCAGGGATTGAACTCAAGGACACTTAACCACTGAGCCACATCCCCAGCCTTTTTTTGGATTTTATTTAGAGACAGGGTCTCACTGAGTTGCTTAGGACCTCACTAAGTTGCTGAGGCTGGCTTTGAACTCATAATCCTCCTGCCTCAGCCTCCTAAGCTGTTGGGATTACAGGCATGCACCACTGTGCCTGGCCCACTATGTAAAGGTTTTTAAACTTTCAATTTTCTACATCAGCTAGTTGACTTTTAACACTTCCATTTTTTGCAGAGGTTTGAGTTTTGCTCAGAATAGGTGGTGGTGTGTGGGGTTTCCCCCTGCATGTCAGAATCCAACTTATTTTAGGAAGGGTGCTCATATAGTTCATTTTCCAACTTGGTTTATTTTTGAGAGTGAAAGAGATAATTAACAATCATGCCAACATAGCAGTTTGGCAGGCATGAAAGACAGGACTTGGGGCTGAGATAAAGCTGAGTGGTAGAGTACTTACTTGTCTAGCATGCGTGAAGCCTTGGGTTCAATTGTCCCAGCACCACAAAAACAAAACAAAACAAAACAAAAACAAAAACAAAAAAACCCGAAACCATACCAAACCAGGATTCATCCTGGAAAATTATACTTGACAAATATAATCAGCTTGTATTGGGAGCCCTCCCCCTGCCCTACTTACAAAAACAAAATGAAAAAACCTAGCCTTTGTGCAAAACAAAACCTGTCTCGTGGTCATGTTCATTTCATGGGTAAATGGTTCCGATCTGTGATTTGTATTCTTTAAAGTTGTTATTAAAGTGAAAATAGATTCTCCTACTTCTCAGCTAAGCTTGCCACATCTAAACTCTATGAAGTCCTGTTGGAACTAAAAGTTTACAAGAAGTCCAATACTCCCATGCCTTAGGTATGTCAAAAATTTTGTGTTCTTTTTCCTTTTTTAAAAACGTTTTCAGAAGGTGATAAATTCAAAGACAAACAGCATTTATCTTATTTGCCAATATAACAAAAGTAGGCTTTATTCCATTGACCTCAATACACACATGTGCATAGTGGGTGACTCATCAGCCAACATAAGAAACAGAGCTAGCATAAGTAGCCTTCCTGATTTCTGACTTCCAGGTCATTGTTCCATTTGTATTTCATTCAACTATTGGTTTGGTTTGATTTCTAATGGGGAGTGAGAAGAAGAAGGAAAATGGTGAGAAAACTATGACCTATTCCTCCTTAATGAAGAGTAGCAAAAGCAACCTTATTTTTGCAAATAGAATTTGAGATACCAACTTACCTGCTGCAAACCTTTTCTTGATGAGTGAAAATCGGTACCCTGCTCCAACAAGTTCAATGTCACAGCCAGAAAGAGTGCTCCCTTCACTTGTGAATTGTACAACCAGTGGGGAAGGTTTGCTTGGGCCTTCAGACAGCTGAAATCTTGCTAATAAGGAACCCACCCCTTAAAAAAAAAAAGAAATATTACAAGAAAATAGGCAACACAACATTCTGGATATAATTTTGGAAATTAGAAAGTTAAAATACAACATTGGACTTACTTGGAAATAGTACAAGTTTTAGTGACAAAATTGTGATGAATGAAATGTGTCATTGAATAATATGAATACTTCTATTTGCACATTAGTGGAAGTATACTCAGCAAAATGGTGCTTCAAAACTTGGGGGCATGCTGCATGGAAGGCCATGTATTTTCATAACTCTGAATAATATCAGAGGAGAGTGAAAAATATTTATGAGTATGGATCTACTAGAGGACAGGGACATGCCTCCATACAGGCTCTTTCCTGAAAGGATGGTCTGTGAGTTGAGGTCTTGATAGGAAGGGGAAGAGGAAAAGTACTGGAAGGATTGTTTGTTTTTATTGATTGAAATAACTAAATGCAAAAATGGTGTTAAATATTCTGCTTGTTTTTTTAGTGCCACATGTATTTTGGTTCAATAATTGGCATTTTTTTAAACATTTATTCTTTAGTTGGAGGTGGACACAATACCTTTATTTAATTTTTATGTGGCGCTGGAGATTAAACTCAGTGCCTCATGCATGCTAGGTGAGCGCTTTTCCTCTGAGCCACAACTCCAGCTCCATAATTGGCATTTATCTACAAGTTATTTCAGCTTTATAAACTAAATAAAATGGTTTATATTTTATTTTTATAGTTTATATTTATTACCTCCATTTTCTGACTTCTGAGAGATATCAGGAATCTTCCACAGTATTCTTTGTTGTTCAGCATTCCTAAAAATAAAATAGAAAAAAGGTCTTTCTATATGCAAATTTCTGTTTAAGGAACGCCATGTTTTTTTTTTTCAAGATAGTATTTTTTAAAAGAATGTTGAAAAGTTTGGCTATAATTTTAAAAATTATCTCTATGTACCTATATTCACACATACATTTCTCTTTTTCTGATTCTAACTTGCTACAACACGGTGAGGTAGACATTTAGAGGATAATAAAAAGTTTAGAAAAAAGTTTTGAACACATCTGTTGAAAGCATAAAAAGTATTAGCTAATTAATTCAGAACATTTAAATTGCAACTGTCATCTGGCTGGCATCATTTAAAAAATATATACTTTTTGCTTTTGATGGTAATAGGGAAAAACTGGAATGTTCTTTCTAGTACAAGTCCTTTATCATGGATGCTTCTGGCACTCGGTATCTATTCAGTTTCTACCTTCACCACCATGCCTTTTTATGTAGTTCAGAGGCTTTAAGAGGTGCACTGTGTTTCCCAGATACTCTTGCAATAAGATGTTCTGAGATGCAAATTTGGTCCCACCAGTTACAGGCTCAGTTTGAGACCTGGAAGGAGAGGGAGGCAGAGGCCCTTTTCTTGCTGCCTTCACTATTTCCCTCTGGCCAGCCACCCAACTGAGACATGGAGTTCTTCTAACACAGGGGTGCAGTCTGGTCTTTAGTGTCACAGGTGTTGAGAGGCAGGAACTTCCTGATCCTTGCATCAGTTACAGGAGTGGGCTCTTGAGTTTAGTGATTCCACTGGTAGTCTCCTGATTTTTTTCCTTCCCACAGCTATGGCAGACACAGCCAGTCCCCTGGTGGGCCAGTTCTTACAATGTTTGGGAAACATTCTTGGAGCTACAGCCTGTTCCTTTAGCACTTCCACCATCATGGAAGCATTGAAATCCCTGTACTAAATCATTATTGCTTAAAATAATATTTCCTGCCCTGAACCCTCCAACATTGGCCTACTATGATCTGCTACAGGAAACACAAATGCCAAGGAGTCTGCAACCGGGGGATGAGCAGTTTCTTACCAGACTGCGGGTGGAAGCACGGCCTGGAGCTTGGTCACGCCTCCGTCTATGGGGACCAGGAACTGCACATTGTTCAGGGCCACGGCTGTGGTCATTGAATCCGTGTTGTATTTGTAATCTATGCGCAGGTCAGTGCTCGCAGGCTCACATCGCCAGTTCACTGCCAGGTTCAGAGGCGTGGACTGAATGCCCTGGGCAGATACCTTTCCAAACAACAGGAAAGGGAGCATTTAAGGTTCAAACATTAATGTGAAACTAAACCAGAAGCTCTGGTTATCTTCCAAAAGAATGGTTTTAGGTATCAAAATATCATAATGTTGTTTGTGTGGCTCACAAAGGAACACTCAGTGAAAAGCACTATAAAGGGTACTATGTGAGACAGAGCTGGGTACTTCAGGCAAACTGTTCCAGATTAAAAACATAAAGTCAATTGCTCAAATCTCTAGGGCACTTTAGAATTTACAGTGCATTTCCTTCTGATTAGGGAGGTGGGATAGCACGCTGGTTAGGGGCTGAGACCACAAAGGCCACAAAGCTAGACAGTCCTGGTGTGAATTCAGATTCTGCTACTTAGAAGCTTGGACATAATCTCACTGAGCCTCAGTTATTTCCTTGTATGCCTAATGGGAATTATGATAATAATATTTTCCCACAGGGCTGTCAGGAAGATTGAAGGAGATAAAATAGCACAGGTCCAGCACGGAGCAAGGAATTAATATTTTAATAAATGTTTCCTATTAATATTCTCACCATATTTGCTCTTCACAACAAATTGTGAGATAGACAAAAAGGGTTATTATTACACCTTTGTGATTTTCCAGAGGAAAGACTTGACCTCTGGTCCTCTAACTCGAAGAACTACTTTCTGATTTGAACCAACCATGAGTTAGTTAGACCAAAACAAAGTCAGATTTGAAGAATCAACAGCATTTTGTCTTCTCTAAAGACTAATATAATTTCGAATTCTGGGTCCACAGTGAAAAATTCAGTGTTATCAGTATTTGATTATGATTGTGAATAGATCTCTTGGAGATTCTCCTCTGCTAGGTTTGTATACACTGCAGGGACTGCATGGGGGATGTCTTTGAGCTTGGATTTTTATTCAGGGAATATGGGTTTTGCTGCTTTTGAAGAACATACACAACTCACTGGAAATGGCAGCACATATGAATGCCCTGGGAAAGGGTCCTCAGGGTGGGTTGGCTCACAAGCAGGGGTGGTTGTTGTAGACAGTCCAGAAATGGGTTCTTTTTTTAAAAAACATATTAGTGCATTTTAATTATGGAATAACAGGTTCTACTGTGACATATTCGTATGTGCACATGACATACTTTGATCACATCCACTTTACCATTATTCTCCCGTACCCTCCCCCTCTCCTCCTCTCCTCCTCTGATCCTCCTTTATAAGATGACAGATATGACTTTTGATGGAAATTTTAACCAGACAGCCACTATAATAGTTTTTAAACTTAAAATACTGTTAGCTGTACAATCCTTTCTACAAATAAACTTTTTTTGGGAAATCTGTTATCTAAAGTAGATCAAAAGCCAGGCAGCACCTTCCTCCCCATGCTTTTTCTGCACTCTCTCCTTCTCTACCACCCTCAGTAGTAGTTCTCAACTCCATAAGTGTTCCTCTACCCAGGGAGGGGCTTTTTGCATAGGTGAAGATGCATTTTTGATTGTCCCAATTTCTGGGATATGCTATTGGTGGCTACAGACTAAACATGCTGTGATTTGAGGGCAGTCCCACAAAATGCTAGCAGTGTCCCCAACCCCATCTCCTTGCATTGTTGAAAAACAACAATACAACTGAATCACAGCAAAAAGTTCAGAGTACTTTGAAATATAGTAGGCTACGAGCTCCTTATAATAACCTATAAAATATCTAGATGGGTATATTTTTACCCTTATTTTCAGCTGCAGAAAGGGTTCTGGGAAATTAAGTACCCAAGGTCAGGGGCCATTAAGAAACTTACTTAATTTCAGAATTTAATCTCTTGCCTACACTTTACATTTTACACAAAGCTCATATGGCAATAAGTGAATTATCTACTCTCTAGAGTCAATAACAAACAGAGAGAATACAAATATTGCACAGGATTTAGAAGTTTAAAAATCTTTTAATCTGAAATGAAAATGTAGATAGAGTGTTTGTAATTAGATTCACGAAGGGAAATAACTACAGTTTTCTTTTCACAGTTGGACAGGAGAACACACATTGTACCCTGAAATTTAACTGTTAAGGTGAAAATGAAATTTGGACGTTCCATTTCTTATTCCTTCTCATTTCTCTTACAAGCTCACGGCAGCCACTAGACATGTTTAAATATTTTGGAAAAAAGTTAAGTAAAATACATTTTCTATTATATTTTACTTATAAAAGTAATGAACTTATGCCATAGCATATGTTTGTTGGTACTATATAACCTGTGATATTTAAAGCTTAAATGATACTGAAGTACGGCAGAAAAATAAATGGGTAAAAAGGAGACATAAAGGAAGGGCAGGAAATAAAATTTTAATTTAGAGTTTTGCATACTTTTCCAGGACTCTCACACTCAGTCTTTTACCAAGGCTTGTTACTGCCAAATTCCTGGGAGATCTGTAATTCTATCTTAGCACTGTTAATTAACCCCCCCCCCCCAAATAGATTAAGTAATGATAGATATAGTATCTTGAGGAACCTAAACTTAGGGAACTTTCCAGTGCTATCTATTGATCAGACAATGAAGACCCTGTCTGCCTAAGGATTCAGAGATTGACCAGACCACCAGAAACCTCCTAGAGATTTCAGGACTAATATGATCCCGATATACCTTTCCATACTGACTTCTCACCAAATTTCCTTTAGAAAGAGAGCCAGCCCGCCCCCACCCCCACCCCAGTGTGTTTCTGAATGGCCTGCTTTCTCCCTTGAATGCATATCTACTTTCTGAAATAAACCTATCTATGTCGCTGACTGATGGTGCTAACATTCTTTTCCAGCATGAAAGTCAAGGACCTTGCTGAGTTGAATTACCCATCACACTGGGAACTCCTCAGACCCTTCTTCAGAGACAACTCTGCTCCTGTGACAATACTATCCTCAGGCAAAAACTTCACGTTTGTTTGCATTTATGTAATATGCACCACCATATGGATATTCCACTTTCAAACAACATTTCAAGTAAGTTTTTTTCCAAACTACAGAGTGCACTAGAACCACTTGGGTAACTTATTAAAAATACAGGTACCTAGGTTGACACAAGTAAATACAAATACCTGGTGGTGTCAGGGTGAATGTACATATTATGTCTAAATGTCTGCACATATATTTCTTTTTGGCATCAGTTCAGAGCCAGCATTGGTCTACGGATTCTCTGGTAACTACACTGTGCAGTCATTTTTGAGAATGTACTGATTTTTATTAAAATGCAACTTTCCTCATACAAAGAAAAATACTCTGAATATATTTACTCATCAAAATTATAATGCATTAAAAACAATATAGGAGAGGCCGAGGATGTAACTCAGTGGAACGGCACTTGCTTAGCATGCTCAAGGTCCTGGGTTGGATCTCCAGTACTGGGAAACAAAAAATCAAGGAGGTCAAGTAACTGAGAATCAGGTGGACACTCAGACAGGTAATGTTGTTTCTAATAGACTTATTTACTAGATCAGTAATAATTTCAGGTAAGGGTAATCCTAGGCACAAAAAGAAAGCTCTCAGATACAATATTATATTTTATCAAACATATTTTTGACATTGAGTTATTTCTTAAGCTTTATTAGAATGGTTTCATAGGAATATTGCACTATGAAAAAATCTAGTTTATTTACATGTAATCATTTAAAAAAGAGGCTTTAGAACACTAGTGGTCTTAAAATTGCAGTGATCTAGTTTAATGATACTTACACTTTTAATATAATTTTGTTATCTTCATTTTGTCACATTTCTTTAACTTTTTAAGAGAATATTTCATTTATAAGTTTAAATAAAGATACACATGAATGTTATTGTCATTGGTCACAAAGTAGCTCTTTAAGGTGTCCATTTCCTTATATTGACAGCCTTCATATAATATTAAAAGAAATACTATTTTATTTATTTTTATTTAATATTAGGTACTTTAGAATGTAAACTGTAATGTGAAAGACACCCTGGCCATATAAATAGGCTTACCTGATATTTGAGCATGTCCACATTGTAATATGTAGCCTGGGGTTTTTGTTCAGACACTTTCTTTAGGTGAGTCATCAGATTTGGCATGTTTACCCAGAATTCCTTGGTATTGGCATCATTTTGTGTATTATCACTATTTAATTGGGAAGAAAAATGATTAAATAGCAGCTTATAACAAATAGCATCTACACAAGCAGCATCATAGAAAATTGCCATCTGATTTCTGTATCCACCCTGGACAACTGGTAGAGATTATATAATTCACAGTTGTGTAGTTTAAGTACAAATGTGGTTCTGAACAGTATCATGTTAACAGATTAATATTGATATCGAGGAAATACTGTGTTCTAATTCTCAGTGAGTACCCAGTAACATTAACTAGTCACCAATCATGGTTAATCATGATTGCTATAAATTGGCTGGATCTAAGATGATAGATGCCAAAAGGCTCACTGATATTCATGGTTGCTTTAAAAAATGAATTATAATCTGAATTTAATAGCTCATCTCAGTTTTGTCTAAATTTGTCAGTTAATGCAATTGAAAAGCTGAACATGTTTATTTGTTTTGAATTCACTTGAGCCATAGGTTTTAGAAATTATCCAGTTAAAGAATTGGCCAAAGGCAAACACGGTCTTTATTACTGGCCAAGGAGAAAAGGGTGACACTAAAATTCCCATGCTACCTTTTCAACATTTAAGACTTCATTCAAGAGTATCTAAACCATAAAAGACATCACTTCACATCCAAGATGATCCTAGAGTGTAAGTGATGGTAACCATGGTAGTTACAATGGAAGAGCACAGAGCAGTCTTGATGAACCCAGGACGGTGGAATCCCTGTGAGTCACTAGTTTTACTCAGAGGCATGTCCACAGACCACCCTTTCAATCCATCTTGTAGATGCTTGTCTCAATAATAATACGAATCAAGCAAGAGTGCACAAAGCATTTGTTCATTTCCAACATATCAAGGAAACCGAGACCCCATGTGAGTTTGTAACTGGACACACAGCTTGTTTACAGACATCTTACTTCCAGAATATAAATCTATAATTTTGTAGTTATAATTCTTGAGCACCCATTATGTTCCAGGCATTCTGCTAGATGCATTATAAACTATTACATTAAAATCTACCCTGCAAAGGAAGCATTATCTTCAACTTAAAAGATGAGTAAATTTATAATACAAGAAAATTAACGGTTCAGAAAAGAGAAGATTGATAAAGTGAAAAAGAGATAAAGGGAGATCAAAAGTGAGATGCTACCATTTAGTCTCTAGAAGGCAAACAAATCAAGAAAGCAGAGTTACAAAACTCAGGGCCTTAAAACTACCATTGGTCTGTTAGGAGAGGGTGGCATCTAGGAGGGAAGAGGTCAGGTATCAGTGAGTGTGACCTGTGTGGTTCTGGTAGGCTCTGGTATGAGGTGCTTGCCAACAAAGCAAAGCTCTTTGAATCTTATGGGGCCTGGGAAAGAGTCCTGGCCCTTGAGACTTTTTCCCTGTTCAAGCCGAACCAAGGATATTGATCAGGGCTTTTCATTTTACTTTTATTTTAAAACATCTAAGTTATCCCAAGCTCCCAGAGTTGTCACTACACAAGGAGGCAGGAGATAAGAGCAATGGGGAGGTCAGTGAAATTAAGTAATTTGCTTAAGGTCACAGTGAATATGTAATAGGACCAGGATTCCAACCCTGATCAGTTGCATTTGTCAAACTTTCCCACTAGATCATAACAGAGGTTCAGAATTAATATCTAGCAGGTTGCCATTCATTTATATTAAGTAGAGCTGAATAATTGGGAGGATCTTAATCATGCTATTTTTATTAATTTTATTTATTTCTTTTTAAAATTAATTTTTAAAATTTATATATGACAGTGGAATGCATTACAATTCTTATTACACAAATAGAGCACAATTTTTCATATCTCTGATTGTACACAAAGTATATTCACACCAATTTGTGTCTTTATACATGTACTTTGGATAATAATGTCCATCACATTCCACCGTCATTTCTAATCCCATTTCTAACCCTCTCTTCCCCTCCCACCTCTCTGCCCTATCTAGAGTTTGTCTTTTCCTCCCATGCTCCCCATCCCTACTCCACTATGAATCATCCTCCTTATATCAGAGAAAACATTCAGCATTTGTTTTTTGAGATTGGCTAATTTCACTTAGCACTATCTTATCCAACTCCATCCATTTACCTGCAAATGCCATGATTTTATTCTCTTTTATTACAGAGTAATATTCCATTTGTGTGTATATGCCACATTTTTTTTATCCATTTATCTATTGAAGGGCATCTAGATTGGTTCCACAGTTTAGCTATTGTGAGTTGTGCTGCTATAAACATTGTCTCCTTGGTCTATACCCAAAGGACTTAAAATCATGCTATTTTAAAAAACAAATACATCTGCTCAGTTTAAAAATAAGCTAATACATATATATATGATTATTTCCTCAAAGAACCTGCTTTAATATTTATTCCAGAAAGCTTTGCCTATTAAATGCCCAAAGAGACACAGAACTCCTCAATGCTAAAGAAATCATGAGAATTCTTCAGTCTCATATTTGGGTTGATAATTTTTCCTGAACATTCTTTGAAGGCAAACCCCTTTCCTAAGATAAAAGGGATTGCAAACTTAAATGCTTCCAGGTTGCTAACCTCAATGACATCTTTCAGTAAAGATAAATGAGAGAATTGGCTGGATCTAAGATGATAGATGCCAAAAGGCTTATACTGCAGTGAAAACAGCTTGGTCACCATTGTCTTTTAAAAATTAGGGGTGGTGGTGATGGTGAAGCAGCAGTACATAACAAAACCAAATCGGCAATCACTGGCTAAAGAGTCACCCACTTCAGCCCAGCCACGAAATGAAAGATTCAGGCTGATGTGGGACTTAGCCTGTCACTGATGGGCAGACCTGGTTGTAGCCAGAGAGATTCCCAGGGGAGAGAGGCCGGGCAAGGGTACACTTTGAGCTCAAAGGAAATAGTAACAAGTTTTGATTCTAGACAGATGCAATGTGAAGCTACCAGAGGGTTATGGGCAAAGATGGGCTGGGTCGTGTTAGAAAACATCATTTGGCTGTTTAAATACATTGTAGCCAAGCAAGATTGGATTCAGGAAGGGAGACAGTTTGCAGTGGTCCAGGGAAATGATAGTGGCCATTTGCACCAAGGAGGTTACAGCAAATTAAAAATGTGGCCACTTTAGAGAGATATTTTTAAATAGAATATCAGGATCTAGTGAAGAGGAAGCTACCAAGAATGACTCCTTTTATCTCATCCACTGCAAATAAGTAACTTGGTACAGTTTATCATTTTAATATCATGAATATATGTATGTCTGTGTAGCTGTGCAGGTGCATAATAGACATCATTTCAGATTTAATAGTTAGAAAATGTGGAAAGTATTTATACAAACACATTTGCTTGAACTTCTTTGATATCATACCTGTAAATTTCCATCAAAACACTTACCATTATAATGAAATTATGTTTAACAAGAAAATTTTCAAGTTCATGTGAAGAGTAGCTCATGGTTCAAATATTATTTAATTTTAAAAGATGCTGATACAACAAAAGAGTTCCCTATTATTGGGTTTATTATCCAATGAATATATTGTCACTAACACATTTAATTATTTTCAATGACTCTTTTACCACTTTAGATAGCTGTTCATGAAAATACCCATATGCATATGCAGCTACACATACACACGGAATTATCCTTGGAAAACTTTGACAGCTGGTCAAAGTTCTGTGTCTGAATCTACAAGCATATCAGAGCAGTGGTAGTTAGCAACAGTGCTACTGCTAAGATTTATTTGTCATCTAAGTACAAAGTGCTAAACCACATATATCTAAAAATTTACGCAAAATAATATTTACCAGCAGAGAAGTTGGGGATTTGGCAGGACATGTTCTAACCTGCTGAAATTTATCACCCGAAAAGTCAGAGCAGCTGGGGAGGGGTTGTTGGCAAAGTGTCTGGTGATGCCGGCAGGAAAGGACAATACCATTTCTCCAGTAATCTTAACGATACATCTGGTGTATCAAAACACATGAGAGAAAAGAAAGAGAGGAAATCCAGGTCAATAAACTGTCAATCAAAACAGCTAAGAAGAAGAAAAGATTTGGGTAAGTACATAAATAGCAAAAGAGATGATAGGTGTGCTCTTAATTCCTCTCTCAGCTACTAAGTCATTTCTAATTTACATGAGAACTTGTTGCTTAAAACTTACTTTTAAAGAGTGAACTATAAGAATCAAAGTACAAAGTCTATAGGTTGTCCTCACAAATAAAATCATCTACTCTTGTGATTCTCACTTTGATTTCTGAATTTTTGGCAGCATGTTTCAAGATATTAAATTGCATCATATTGTCACATTTTACTGAGACTTTGAGTAATGGGGTTAGTACCTTGAGCATAGTCTTTTACATACTCATGAGGTAAAGTTCTTGCTTACTATTTAATTAGTTCTTTATTCTATTAACTTGTCTATTTGGTCACAATTATAAAATCAGACCTAGAAATTAATGCAATAAAATGATTTTTTATATGTTTATTTTATTTATATGTGATGCTGAGGATCAAACCTAGGGCCTCGCACATGCTAGGTGAGCACTCTACTGCTGAGCTACAACCAAAACCCCCAATAAAATGATATTTTGGAATGAAAAATACACCTTTTTTTGTTAAATGGGCTTTATGGAGGCACAATTAACATACAAGAAACGGTACTTACTTATAGCATAAAATTCTATAACATTGTATGATGTGAAGTCACCATACAACCAAGGTAACCATTTCTATCACCCTAAAACTTTCCTCCTGCCTTTTTTTTGTTCAACATTTTTTAGTTGTTGATGAACCTTTATTTTTTATTTATTTGTGAGAATCGAACTCAGTGCCTCACACATGCTAGGTAAGCGTGCTACCACTGAGCCACAACCCTGAGCCCCTCCTGCCTTTTAACTCCATTTTTGTAATCTCTCTACCCCAACTTTCCACTCCTGATCCCTAGGCAATTGTTAATATGCTTTCTGTTACTACATTAGTTTGCAATTTCTAGTATTTTACATAACAGAATTACAAAGAATGTACTTTAGAGGTGTCAAAGTTCTTTCTATGAGAATTATTATTTTGATATTCATCCATGTAGTTGTGAGCATCAATAATTCATTTCTTTTTGTTGCTCTGAGGTACTTGGATATACTACTACAATGTGAAAAAGAATCCATTCGCCTGTTGAAAAAACATTCAGGTTCTTTCCAGTTTGGTCTGTTATTAAGGTATGATAAATACATATGTTAGGCCTTTGCATGGATACATGCTTTCCTTTCTCTTGGTAAGAACATGAGTGGAATCACTGGAACATATGGTAAGTGTATCTTTAACTTTTGAAGAAACTACCCAACTGTTTTCTAAAGTGGAAAATACAGCTGTATGACAGCATTTTACTAGTTTCTTCTCTAGTCTGTGGCTTAGTTTTTCCTTTCTCCTAAGAACACTTTAAAGGGCAAGTTTTCAGTTCATCAATTTATTTCTTATAGATTACCTCTAATCCAGTTATACTTTTAGTGTCCTAAGTAGTCAAATTTTTTTTTTACCTATAGAAGTTTTCTTTCTTTTTAGTTTTGCATGTACTTTGTGATCCATTTTTGGTTGACTTCTGTATACAGTGTGAAACACAGATCTGAGTTTATCTGTATGCAGCAGCTATCTAATTGTATCAGCACATTTGTTCAGAAATGACTATCCTTTCTCCATTGAATTACTTTGGTGATTTTTTTGAAGTTCGATTGTCCATGTTTGGGACGGAGTCTGGATCCATTGTTCTGTTTCATGGATCTATTTTGCCTATTTTAAAACCAATACCACCCTGTCTTGATTACTGTAGCTTTACAACAGTTCTGAAATCAAGTCATGGTAGTCATCCAACTTCGTACTTTTTCAAAGTTGTTTTGGGTATTGTATGTCCTTGCATTTCCATATGAAATTTAGAATCACTGTATTAATTTCAACATAAAATAAATTTATTACCTCGCAGTTCCAATTCATCATTAACTGCCCACTCTAAAAATCCATGAATAATGGGCCCTTTCTCCTTCTTTTTGCCAACAAACTCCATGTTAAGTCTTGTCAGTAGAGGGCGCTGGACAGAAAGCATGTTCAATTCCAGTGGGCTTGTTAGGCAGGTTCCTATAATGTACAGGGCTTTTTTAGGGCCAAACTCCTATAATGAATGTGGCGTCACCTAGAGTGGGTTGTAAAAGTAGTTCTGCCAGTGACCAGTAGCATAAGCAGCTTTCCTATGGGTTCATATAGTTCAAGTGACTGGGCTGCCCCAATGACTAGATTCTACAAAGCAGGAAGGGTTTCTAGCTCCGGGTTCTTGCCTTGTGTGTGCTAAATTTCAACCTTCTTCCCTCCTGGCTTCTGCAGTACATGGTGGCCAGCTGCACAACTTGCCATTAGTTTCCTTTGGCATCTTCTTAAGCCAATTTGGCAGTGGAGTGTTTCAGCAACATACCTCCCCGTGAACAGTTAGTCTGCAGGGCTCTGCCTATGCCATGCCCAATAACTTGAAGAAGTGAGCTGGCACAGCTCACCTTACCTTTCAATGGGGACAGTCCTTCACCTGAGGTCCAGTGTTTGCAAATCTTTGTTTCATGCATTTTGCCCATACTTGAGCTATTCCAGGTGAGAGAGTAAATTGGTCTGATACTCTACCTTGGTCAGAAGCAAACATCTCAAAAAGTTTATTTTTCTTTGGAAAACAGGAAATACAGTTAGCCCTCAGCTTCTGCAGATTCCATGGAAAATTGTGTCTGTACTGAACAACTACAGACTTCTTTTTCTTGTCATTATTCCCAAACAGTACAGGCTACTGCTATTTATATATTATGTATATGATGTTAGACATTATAAATAATCTAGAGATGATTTAAAGTATATAAAATGATTGCATAGGTTATAGGCTAACATGATACCATAAGGGAATTGAGCATCTGCAGATTTTGGTATCTGTGGGGGGTTCCTGAAACCTATTCTCCCTCTACACATTGAGGGATGCCTGTATTTAAAACAAGAGACCTTCTTTAAGATTCCCCCATACATCTGGATAATTGACTCATGTATCACTTCAGCTCCAAACTCAAGAATGAAATTTCTAGGTTAGTAAATGAAAACTTTGCTCACATTTGAGAACAGAAGACTCAATTTTCACCCATAGTCACTTGATGTACTATGCAACTCTGTAATTGATGGGATACACCTAGCTCAGGTGAGATGGTACATTTTCAAAATAGTGTGTGGGAAGAACTGCCACAGCTTTGTATGTGTAATGCTGGGTCTGGGTTAGAAGTAGGGTGAGGAAAGGTGAGTTTCCTCAAATTGCCATGTATTTCTCCCTTACTCAGATGTTATCCATGAATTTGCACCACTCTGAATAAGAATTTTGCTTTCTGGAAGTTTGCATTTTTGTCTCCCCTGGAGAATATTACTGATCTCCCAGATTGGGCATAAATTGCTGTCTTTCTCCTCTACTTTTTAGAGTCATTAACCTTGTTTGATTACTGGTGTTTAAGTGGTGCCTAAATTAGCTTCTCCTCAAGCTAATTCTACTCTTGATATTTGTCAATACATGGACATGTAGAATATTACATTCTGGAAGACAACCACAGTTTTTCAGAGCACTTGTTAATTTATATGTCAGCACCTACCATCACTCAGTATATTGCGGTTAGCAGTAGTGGCCCATGTGTTTTTTAATTGATAGGGAGCCTTCTCAGTTTCTTTTCTAGGTTGTTGAAAAGGAAATCTAAGAAGTGTCTTGGTAAGGAATGAGTTTGTCTTTTGTAAGCATTAACCTTTTGGAGAGGAGAGGATGTGACATTTATTAATCAAAAAACATTTACTCACTCCCTTGCCATGCAAGCTGTTATTATTATTATTATTTTGAGCAGGAGGCAATTAAAAAAGAAAGAAAGAAAGAACAGTAAAACAGTTCCTGCCTCTCAATGGCTTTCAGTGTTGGGTAACAGAGTAGTTTGCATAGTCCAGAATAAAAAGTATGGAGGCTCCTCAGTTATATTTCTGCATCTCCATTGTCAGAGGCAGATCTTTGCTGATTTATTAATCCATCCAGTGTCTAACTGAATCTGAAATCTTTGTATAAAATTTATTATTTTGAATATTCTCTAAAGGAAAATAATTTTTTACCTTAATGATTGTTCCTATCAGTATGGTAAGGTGGCTACATTTAATGTGAGTTCGAATTACAGAAATTAAAAATGATGTGAAATGGAAATATGAACAAACTCTTTATGAATAAAATTTCAAGTGGTGTGAATCCTCACAGATGAAATGTTCATCAAGAATGGCAAAAATTTTTAAAGTCAAGTGGACTTATAAATTGGGCTCTCCCTATTGACACAGGTAGCACTATGTTTGCTGGCTGTCAGATGTAACGCTGGCCAGTTTGGGTAGGTGAATGTTGAATCTGAATTATATGCTGTCCCCAGAAACACACTCCTCCTTCTAAGTGAAACTTCCACATACTACATTGATAACTAAGCCCACAACTCTCTTCATAAGAGATCTTCAATGAATATGCAGCTTGACATCTTTTATTTATATGCCTCTTTCATTGACTTGTGTATTAAGCAAAATCCTTTTCATATTACAAGACTCAGTTCCGGGGAAGCCCTTTCAAAAGGGCTTCAACCTTCCTTAATTTTCCTTTCTCTGGTCCCCTTAGACACAAGTACAGATTATTTTTAGGAAACCAATGTAGTTTCTTATACTTCTAATCTACTATTGTGAAGGTAAGTACTGTGTTTTCAGTTCTGGGAAGACAAAGGTGCACAAAATGCAGAACATAACAGGGCAGGAATTCAATGAAATGTTATTAGAATAAATTTATACTTCTAACAACTGTAGAAATGGTACCTATAAAACATACCAAATTCTGTGTACTGCACTAGAATCAATAGCAACAAATAGAATTTGCATGGTACTGTACAAGCTTCCTGTTGAAACAGGAAGACAATACAGAATGAATAATTAACATATGAGGATAAGAGATGGTAGCATATTTTGAGAAACTCAAGTTTTTCTAAGGGATTAGAAAATTAATCCTTTTACCTTATCTTTTAGTGCCTTGGCTATTCAAATGTGAACTGGTAATGTAGCAAAGGTCAAAGATTCTCTGCCTATGACCTACTCAAAAATATGCAAAAGTCAGAGTACCTGTTCCAGGTGCTATCCATGTTTAGGGAATGAATATAACTATATTTGAATGTGTTATTATTGCATGACATTGTATGTAATAATTAAGCTAATAGGTTTCTGGATCCATTGTCTGAAAATAAGTGGCTTTAATGCAAGATAGCAGTTGGCTTTATTTCTACCTGGTTTTAGAATCTGAGAAGTTTCCTGAAAGTGAATAATGAAGGAAGAAAAATAAAATGATTTATTGCCTGGACATGGAATAGAGAAAAAATATCACCTCATAATTTGTTCATGAATTTCAGATCTCAAAATTTTAATGAAATACAGTGGATCTTCCATTTAAATTAAATGTTATAAGAATAAATGTAAGATATACTGCAACTATTTATGACACTATATTTGAAGACAGATTGCATATATATCCATAAGCCATATATACATATGTGTATATATATACATATATATATGTGTATATATGTGTATGTGTGTGTGTGTGTGTGTGTATATATATATATATCTATATATCTATATATATATCTATATATATATCTCCAAAAGCTAAGCTATATATATCCAAAGGCTGAGCTAATTAGAAAGGACATAGGAAGGGCACTAAATTATTAGGCTCATGGGAATGCTACGATCATGGTCAGTAGGCTCACAGGTGCAGACCTCTCGACACAACTGTCATGTGTGCTGGGGAGACCGAATCAGTATAAAAAAACCTGGCTTGTATTGTGATAGGCCCACAGGGGTTATACCACTTCTTAGAAATAAAACAAAAAATATTATTAAGGGCTTCTTTTTTAATATTTATTTTTTATTTATAGGTGGACACAATATCTTTATTTTATTTTTATGTGGTGCTAAGGATTGAACCTGGTGCCTCATGCATGGTAGGTGAGCACTCTACTTCTGAGCTACAACCCCAGCCTCTATTAAGGGCTTCTTATCACCCATTGCCCCATATCTGCACCTATTCTTTTATGGACTGTGTAATACATTTATGCACAAGTCTTATTTTCCATAGCAGCTATTCTTCATCACCAATACTCGTTCTATCTAGTTCAATGGCAGGTACACGGTGGCCATTCTGTAGATGTTAGGTGAGTCCTTCCACTACACTTGTCCGGCAAACACCCCTTGAGTATTCCATGCCAGATCCTGTTTTAGGTGCTAAGGATATATGGTGGACAAAAGAGTGGGGTTAAGAGAACCATAATGGACAACAGGGAAAAACATGTAAGATGTTAATGAGGAGGGTTATGGGGAAAGAGGAAGAGGGGAGGAAGGGAAGAAGGAAGTGTTAAGTGGGGAGGGAGGAATGTGGTTACTTTATATACGTAAACAGGAAGTTCTCTGATAAATCTTTGTAAGAACCACAGGAGGATGGTCTGGGGCTGTAACTCAGTGGTAAAGTGCATGTCTCGCAAGTGTGGCTAGGATTTGGAAATGAAGGATAAACAGCCAGGAGACCAGCATGCCTTCCCCAGAGTGAGTAGGGAGGTGAGGGTGTGCAGGTCTTGAAGGACAGAGCATTATGTGTTTTTGCTTTGAGCAAGATAGGAGGGTTTTGAGCAGAGGAATGACATGACATGAGGAGAGTAGACTCTAGAGGACAGAAGTATAAGTGGAAGACCCATTAGGGCTCTCTGAGTGAATAAGTGAGGGAGTGAGTGAAAGCCGAGTCAGCAGCAGTCAGAAAAGAATTCACTCTGGTATGATTCCCAGTGGTTTTCACACCAGCATAACCATTCTCTTTGCACTCTTAGTTCTTCTTTTTAAAAAGCATGTATCTGTCTGTTTCCTTCAATGAAGGCCAGCTTGAGTTTCCTAAGGTATATGTCAGTTGGCAATAAATAGTTCTTAGAACTGATAAGACAGAAAGTTATGCAGATTCTTTGTACAAAAAAGATCCTGCATAACCAGCATGTATGTGGAAAGTATGTACACAGCCGAAGCCTGGCGCTCACAAGCTCAGATGAGGTAGCTTTTAATTTCTATAGACAGTGTGGTTATGGCACATGGCTCAAGTGATTAGAAGATGATTGAGAAAGGACATGAGAGAAACCAGAGCCCACAGAGTTTATTTCTCTACAATATTATGGACTATTATGGTTTGGATCTGGAAAGTTCCCCAAAGGATGGTATAATGAAGGCTTGGTTTACCATGCAGCAATGTCTAGAGGTTTTAGGAAAATGACTAGTTCATGAGGGCTTTAATTTCATTGACTCAAGAGGGTTAATATAACCATCAAGTGGATTAATCCATTTGATGGATTAATAATACTAATGGACTACTGGGAGGAGGTGGAAGTTGTAGGCAGGTGGGGCATGGTTGAAGTAGGTATATTACTAGGGGTTGCGCCCTTGGGGACTACATCTTGTCCTTGACCCGTTCCCCTCTCTGTTTCCTGGCTGCCTTGAACTGAGCAGCTTTCCTTTGCCCGCCCTTCCACGGCGATGTTCTGCCTGTTCAGCAATGGAGCTGAAACCTTTGAAACCTGAGCCAAAATAAACCTTTACTCCTCCAGGTTGTTTGTGTCAGGTATTTTGATCACAGCAACGAAAAGCTGACTAACACATGGGCTTAGAATAAAATCTACGTATTGTTGAAAGAGATGTGACATTTAGGGAGATTGGTAGATCCCAGGGGCTGGCATTACACCTAAAGGTGGAGTTACTAATTATATTGGTTTTCCAGTATAATTTTGTTAGGGTTAGACTTTAAAAAAAACTAGTGTTTCTAAAGTGTAAAGAGGATTCACACTTAGTCATACAAATTGCCACTTAAAATATATATGGGGATTCAAGTTCTAATAATACTTAATCATCGCTGTTTTAAAAATTTTTAATAAAATTGTCTGCATGCACGTTTAATTTTAAATTCATTCTTCCTATCATAGATAGAAGGTTTTCCGAGCCTTAGTCCTTGTAAGTAAAAAAAAAAAAAATTAAGAGAGCAATTTTTTCCCTTCCCTATGTTTCCCCTTTGTTTATAATCAGATTAAGATCTGGTATTATGCTTATGACATTTAAAAACTGGTTTGACTTAGGTGTTTAGTTTTCAGTGTGGACTAATAGCCACTCTTTTATTTATTTATTTATTATCATGAACCCCTTTGGTAAACTGATGAATTCTGTAGTTGCTCTCTCTGGTAAAATGCACACAAAAGATATGCAATATAATTTCAGGGAATGCACAGACTTTCTGAATCCTATCCATGGAACTCCTTGTCAAGATGTAAAGTATTTAATGATGCCACAAATATGTTCAGGTCAAGTTCACTGTCAGTACATACTGCTATAAATGAAATCAGGGTCATTTGAATAGAGGGTACTGCATTTTCCCCCTAGAATTTTAATTTTGCTATGATTTTAATTTTTCCTCTTCTTTTTGGACAGTATTTCCTTCTTAGTGAGGATATCAAATAACTTATTCCCTTGTTTTACTGGGCATTTTGGGAAGGTCTTTTTCTTCCATGTTATCATTCCAATGATCCACTATTTCCACCTATATGTGGGCTGTTCCCTTCTGGGGAAGACTAAGACATAAAAGAAATGATCTGGACGTAGCTTTTAGGGGACCATAAACTTTCTCAAGTTTGACAGAATTAGAGTGGGTTTCTGTTACTTGCAATTAAAACTGAATCAGAGATTTCTAAACAGTAAGATATCAGATTGTTGGATCATTTGATGCTTGTTAAAAAGCAGATAATATTACTAATTAAATTTTATCCTCTATTCTAGGTGTGTCAACTATTATTGTTAACTGAATTCTTTATGGTTTTAGGATAAAGAGTAATATAGTTACATTTGGGCTGTCCCCTGCTAGATAGGATAGAGTTTGGAGAATACAGTGGACCACGTCCAAGGCTTACTTGCTTGGATCTGCTCCTTTGAAGTAGGCATTGACAGTTTCTGTAAATGCTGCTGCAACAGGGAGGGTGTCCTGGGCTCCCATGGTTAGGGGGCTGGGTCCCCTGGAAGAACCTGCATGAAATGAAATGCTTTCATTTATTAAGAGACATCTAGTATACATGGAACTAAAAGCCCATAAAAGGATTAAGGTATAAAATCTATTACTAAAAAATGTGCTAAGAACTATAACTCTGTATGCATATTCAACATAGAGCTCAAGTATTTGAAAGTAAATATTTGGCTGGTTTACAGACAAACACACTTGAAATTCATTCAATTATGTATCACTACAGAAAAGAAAATCTAAGCAGAACAAAGTCACAAGAGTTTTCAAATGTCTTGCATAAAGCATGAGGCAGTATTTTGCATGACAGTTTGTGCAGCAGGTAGTTAATAAATAAGATCATTACTTTTCTATTTCCTATTTGAGCATTCAACCTAGTCAATTTCTCACACTTAAAACTTTGGAAGGGCCCAACTGTCAAGTGGTATCATATTACACACACTGTCCCTTTCTGGATTATTTTCATTTCGAAAAATTCAATTATTCTTAGTTCAAGTAAGCTCAAGTTTACACCTCTAAAAACATATACAACCAAAATGTACATAGTGCCTAATTACAAGCACATAAATGCACCAATTCACACTGTTAAAAATATCAGCAGCTCTCCTGCTTTATTGAACACCTGCTGTGTACCAGACATCACATTCATTAGGTGCCTTACGTGGATTATCTCATTCCACCTCCACCTTTGCCCAATGGGCATGCTGGTTCCATTTTGTAGAAGAGAAAGCTGAAGGTCAGAAGGGTAAACCTAAATTTGTCTTTCTAGAAAGCTCATATTTTCACCACTATACCATACAGTTTGTCTATATGAAAGATTCAACTGTATCATTTTGCTGTAACCTGTAGCTTCCAAATGCACCAAGGGTTAGAATTGCCATCTTCGCTACTAACCTCGAGGCATGGTACTGACAGTAGAGTAAATAGTATTTATGTCTCATGCTCACTTCTCCCCACTTCTGGCATATGCTAGTGTTGAGTTGTTTTTTTCTGCTTTCAGTAACTTCTGTCTTCTCCAGCTATGCAAAAATTCTACCCTCTGTATACTTCCTTCCTCAATAAAACCCTTCTTGATCATTCTAGTTCATGCTAATTACTTTCTTTTCTGTCTTCTCTTGGCTCCCAATAGTTTGGACTTGGTAACTGACAATTAACTTAACAAACATTTTTTAATATCTACTGTGTCTCAGATGCCATTTTAGGTACTGGGGATGCAATGATATATTAAACATGATCCTTGTCCTGAAGCACTTATAGTTAAATATGTCAGACATTTTTTTAAAGAGAGAAGAGAGAAAGAGAGAGAGAGAGAGAGAATTTTTAATATTTATTTTTTAGTTTTCGGCGGACACAACATCTTTGTTTGTATGTGGTGCTGAGGATCGAACCCGGGCCGCACACATGCCAGGCGAGTGCACTACCGCTTGAGCCACATCCCCAGCCCATATAGTTAAATACGTATTAGCAGCAGCAGTATCTTCACCATCAACCTTCACTATCAGGGTTACTTCCACCACCATTATTTGTTGTACACTTGCTGTGTGTCTATGTTGGAAGAGAGTATTATCTTCATTTTGCAGTTGACAAAACTGCTATAGTTTGGATCTAGAGTGTCCCCCAAGTGCCAGTATGTTAAAGGCTTGGTCATTAGCCTATAGCACCATTAGAAGGTGGTGGAACCTTTAAGAAGTAGATCATTGAGGGTATGGTCCTGACAGAGACATTGGGACCCCAGCCTCTCTCTCTCTCTCTCTTTTTTTGCTTTTTGCTGTCATAAGAACTGACCTTTTCTGCCACGTGCTCCCACCATGATGTACTGTGCTGTCACAGGCCCAAAGCAACAGGGACAGGCAACCATAAATTGAAAACTTTGAAATCATGAGCCAAAATAAACCCCTTCTCCTTTTAAGCTGATTATTTCAGGTATTTTGTCACAGTAATGGAAAACTGACTAACCCCAGAACCAAGGCTCAGAGATTTTATATAACTTGCTAGTCTTACATAGCTGGTATACAAACAATTTAAAATTGTTAACTGAGATTTTGTATGAATTAAAGATTCATACGTAATCTAAGGATTATATTATTTTACCTCCTATAGTCGATTGTGGTACTATTTAAGGTCAGGCAAATACCTATAGCACTGTTAGAGTGTGTATATCTAAGTCTTTGTTGCCTGTGGGATTGTAAACTCCTAAAATGAAGGAACTAAGGCATGAGCTTCTTTTATGGCACTGCCATACTCCCTATCACAGAACCAGAATTACATTGACCTTTTGTAAATATATGTTGAATTATCCATTGTTGGATCTCAGTAAGGCAAAGTCTATACAAATCTGTAAATAACGAAGGCACAATAAAAAGAGGTCATTACTTTGCAATGTTGTTACTCAGTTTATTTGCTCATTCATTCATTCAAATATTTATTGAGTGACTAATAGGTTTTGGAGGAGAAATGTTTCCCTAAGTAATGGTTAAAGTAGGGCCAGAGTGGTGAGAGGGCTGGAATACTCAGTCACCTTTTGATTGGAAGTTGGAATTGGTGAGGGGGCAGAAAAACCTGCAAATGCTAGAGTAATTCTATAAACGCTTTTAAAGAATGGTGTGAGCAAAGCCCAACTACTGCTTGAAAAGGTCAAGGAAGGCTTCACTGAGAAGATGATACTAGAGCTGAGGTTTGAGGATGAATAAGGTCTCATGAAGGGGAGGAGAAAGGAGACCAGCATGCACATGAATGTGGGCCTGAGCAGACACATGGCCTTTTGAGAAAGCACAAAAAGTGTGTTGTCAGTGTGCGGAGGGGAGTGCAACTGGTACTGGAGGGTGAGACATGGAAACAGAAGAGTCTCAGGTCATCAAGAGTTTTGTATAAATGTTTGGGAAAATTTGTCTTTATTTTGTAAATGATTTATAGGCATTAAAATCATAGTTTCTTTTTTTTTAAATCATACTTTCTTTTTGACAATCTTATACAAATCCTGGGTGTTTTTCTGAGCAAAGTATCTATCTATCTATCTAATTTATATAATTTGAAGAAGGATTATAAATTCCATAAGATCCTTGAGGGTCCTGGAACGAGTTTAGAACACCTTCTATCCAAGATGAGAGTCCCCTAGAATATTTGAGAGGGGGGCTGCGAGCTTTACTTTAGATCACATTGGCTATATTGTGGAAGACAATTTAATGAGGGAGACAATAATGAGATGAGACTTCTTAAAAAGAAAAAAGATAAAATTGGTGAGAAATGCAGATGTTCATATAGAAAAGAGAATGTTATGGGTATTTTATTTTTTAATTCTGCAAAGCATTTAGTAATCTTTCATGACATTCTTGTGAATAGTGAAAGTTGGGTGGATAACAATCTTTCTAAGTAGTCTGATAGTTAGATGAATCACAATATCTAATGAGCATGAATCAGGGGTTCCATGTCTTTTTTGTTTTGTTTTGTTTTGAGGAGAAACTCTCTGGGAAATGATCTCAGAGGTCTGTCCTTAGTTTGGGCTCTTTAGTTCCTTGGATAAAACTAGAAAAAATGCTCAGAAATAGCACATTGTAGAGGCTAAGAGCATGGCATTTGACATTAGACACACCTAGGACTGAGTTCTGTCTCTGCCCCTCATTATCTAAATGATCTTTGGCAGGAATGATGTAATAATACCCATTTTGTAGACCTGTTCTCAGGATAATATAAGTTAGAGCATTTAGCCCAGCACTTGGTTCATAGAAAACACTGAACAACAATGAGCTATTTTATGATAATTATCATAATTTAACATCGTATACAGAGGTTATCTAAAATAATAACAGGTTTATTGAAATGTTCAAAAATTTCTCAAATTTTTGGGATACTTAGCTGGCAATAACTAGAAAAATATTGGCACAAATCAGTGTGAAATGCTTACATATCAAGTTTAAAAGTTAGTCAAACAATTGTAGCTTGAGGAAGACTGACTTGGTAGAAGAATGTGTGAGGGAAAAAACCCTTCTGGGGGTTTCAGCTAATCAGCTTTCTATTGTTGGATTCCAAACACTTCAGCTAACTTGGGCTGTATTAAAGGAGGAGTAACAGAAAGATCACTGGGAGTGATGGTTTCACTGTCTTCGTTGTTTTTATGCATGGCTCAAAAGCATATGAGATTGCAATGAGAACACTAGTTCACTACAACTTGTGATGTACAAGGCCATCTGGAGTCTGACTTAGTTTTCTCTCTCATGATCTGTGTCCTCCCACTTCCTCCAACAGCCCTTACCTAGCTATGCCTACCTCTGGGCATATAGTCCTTGCTGTCGATCTCATCATAATTTCCAAGGAAGCAGAAACACACAGAACACTAAGTATTTCCAAATACATCCTTTTACCTTAAAAGACTCACAGTTTACAACTCTACTTTCTGGACATGCCTATACATGTTATAGTATGCCATTTTGGATTTTTCTTTTATTACATAATTTTCCTCATTGCTATCTGTTTTTCATATCATTTCCCACAACTATTTATTATTCTACAAACCTTATCCTACTGTTAGGCCATTTCTAAGTACTAATCGAAATTCATCTTTGTATGAATTGAATTGATGTTCTCCTCCTTTTTAACTATTTCCTTAATTTTATTCCTTTTTGGTTTGGCACCAAACCTAAAAGCAGATCATTTTTAACTGTTAAGAATGCCAGGGTAATATGAAAAATTGTGCTCTATATATGTAATAAGAATTGTAATGCATTCTGCTGTCATATATAAATTAAAAAAAGAATGCCAGGACATTTTACATAACAATTATACTTAATCATAATGCTATTAGTAATAAATGAATGCTTCTGTTCCTCCACAGAACCTCAGAATCTTTGTTTAATAGGATTATTGGAAACTGGAATAAAACCAGGAGAATGTCCAGGATGGTGAGAAACTCAATCCTTATGGCTGAGAGGACTAAAAGAAGGATCTGGAAATTGTTTTATAATACCTGAAATAATATCACTAGTCAATGACTCAGGGGACCAGAGGTCAAGGC